TCAGTCAGTAAAGTGTTTATTGTACAAACAGGAGGACTTCATTCAGCTCACATTCCCAACACCTACATAAAAGCTGGATGAAGTAGTGCATGTCTGAAACCCCAGTGATGAGGACCCAGAGACAGGTGGATCCCCAGAGCTCCCTGACTAGCCTTTTCAGCCAGTTGGTGACTTCTTAGTTCAGGGGAGACCCTGTCTCAAAAACTAAGGTGGCTGGAATGTATTTATCAACATGCACCGCCCCCGCCCCAGCTCCAAGGCACAGGAAATTCACAGAAGAAGGAATAGAGAAACTCTAGGTGCCAGAAGATGGGGCTAAATCTGTTCTGTGCCATCTTCTGGGCATGACATGGCCATTACACTCATGAACTAACAGTGGCTGTGGTTACCTGAACGTGATCAAGCCAGTTAAAAATTCCATCATGGCTGAGCCTTCATGCTCTTGCAACTTGGGGCCAGAGAGATGGCTCAGTGGTTAAGAGCAATTACTGCTCTTTCAGCAAACCAGGGTTCGATTGCCATCACCCACATAGTGGCTAACAACTGTCTGTAACTCCAGTTTGAGGGGACACTGGTACCCTCTTCTGACCTCCGTGGGCATTGCACAACACAGGTACACTTACATGCAGTCAATATAGTCATGCACAAAAAAATAAAAATAATAAAATAGTTCTTTAAAAAATTCCAGCATGAATGGGGAAAGGGGTCCTACCAGGTCCCCACTTCTAGTTGGCAGTTGGGGGGAGTCAGTTTTCTTGAGGGGATGGCCACTGGTAGGTTGCTCCTGCCCCAGTGGATGATTGCACATTGATGAGCATATCGGCAGCACTAACTGTGCTCAGTGGGTTAGAACAAACAAATAAAAATAATAAATTTAAAAAAAGGTGGAGAGTGATAGAGGAAGATATCTCACGTCCACATGCATCGCACACTCATGCATACACATAACACTGTACACATATGTACATGAAATTTTAAAAACTCTTGAATGATATAGTGGGTCTTGCTCGTTAATCTTTTGAAATCCTATCTAATTAAATTATGTGTATATTCAGCCAGTGTATGACACACCAAAATGCAAGGGGTGGGCTCTGCTGTCACCTCCGTGGGCTTTATTCTTTGATGTTAACCTATCAGTGGGGCTGTCCATAAACACCTGATAGAAAAATAACCCCCACTGGTATGCCTAGTTCTTTAGCCTCGTGCCTTTACAAGCATCCCTGACCATCAGTGGTACTGTGCATTTACTCGTTGTATTGGTTTCTCTCTCATAGTGTGACCAGATACCTGACAGGAAGCAACATAAGGGACAAAGCGTTTATTTTTGACCTACAAATCCGGGATGCAGTCCATCATCGCAGGTTAGGTCGTGACATCAGGACTATCAGGCACCTGATCTGATCCACATTCCAACCACAGTCAGGATGCAGAGAGTAGTGAATGTTGCTGCTCAGCCCCCTTTCTCCTTTTTTATTCAGTTCAGGATGCCAGCCGGTGAAATAGTGATGCTCGTGTTCAGGGTTGAGTCTTCTCACCTCAATGAGCCCAGTGTAGACAGGCTGTCACAGAGATGTGTCTCCTCAGTGATTCTAGATCCACCCTGTCAAGGTGACAGTTGGTATCTACCACCACACTTGTGTATTTGCTCTTTGCTTGCTTCCCCCCAGATTGGAGTGTGAAGTCTGTCCCCGCTTTCTGTTACACACCAGAAAGAAATGACTTGAATGGATTTTCAGAATTTCTGAACTCATCAGACAGTTGATCCGTGTGCGATCTTTGAATGGGAGGCCCATTCCTGCCTTTCCTTCACAGATACATTTTTCCAGACAATTCCACTTTTCTTTGAAACATTCACTCTTTTGAGCAGCTGTCACTCTACCTTAATGTAATGTTTCTGTTTTCTGTTCACGGCCTCCTTTTCGGTCAGTAACACACTGACACACCAGAATGCAAGGGGTGGGCTCTGCCTTCACTGGGCTTTATTCTTTGATGTTAACCTTTCAGCGGGTCTGTTGTCTCCCCCATGATTCTGTCTTTGTGAGGAGTAGTTCTGGCTCTCTTGGTTCTCTTCCTCTTGGAATGGGCATATGCCCACATACTGTCTACCATATGCTTCTTAAAATAGAAGGAGGCAGTGACAGGAGCTCTGTGTACAGGTTGTAGTCATTTTTTTCTGTGTGACTCTGTGCCCTGTTCTTACTATTCATTCTGAACCCGATGAAGTAAAAAAGATACTGAAATGTTTACATATGACATAAGAATTTAGTCATTATATGCATGTATGTCATATTATGTGACTGTTATAAGTAGAAACAGTGTAAGACATACACATTTTAATACTCCAAACATTTCTATCTTCAGATTATGGGTTTCTCAGTGTACTCAGCGACAAGTCATAGAAAAGTTGTCTTCACACTAGAATGGACAGTGTTGGGTATGCAAGGCCTTGGGAGGAAGATGGTTATGCTGGCTTTGGGGCCCCATCTTCTTTTCTGGAAGACAGTTTTGGAGGTGACTTGCATTGTACTCATAGATGGTCTGAGGTAGCAGAGCCTTGAGTGGTTTCTCAATTGGTTTTGACCAGTGTATGTGGTCCATGAGGCAAGACCCTCTGAAAGGTAACACAAGCAGTGTCCACTCCTCAGCTGACCAGGAACTGACCAGGCTAGTCACCTTGTTTTGCCTTGCACCCTTGTTGGCACTCTCTGCAGAGACCCAGATGCCCCGTCCACCCAGAGTGCTGCTGGAACACCTGCCTGGATTGGCATCACAGAGCAAAGCAAGCTGGAAAAGGGCAGCTTTTCCTTGATTGCCCCAGGGCTATGTCTGTTCTTGCTTGGCTCTCTGTGTCTTTAACATTCCTCCTTGGTGATTGTAACTCAGTATGAAAGGGCATGTGTGTCTTGACACTGAAATGTCCCTGTGCCATTTCCTTCATAGTTGTTTTTTGGGATGTGGCACACCCCACCCTACACTCCCTCAGCAGCCCCAGGTCTCTGCCCAGCCCTGTGGGTGCTCACATGGCAGGGTGGGCCCCTCCACCCGAGGTGGGGCAACTGGGACCATCTCCTTGGGTGGATGTCTGTGCCAAGGAGTAGCAGGGTAGAGTGGCCCCTCCTCAGGAGGGAACGGTGGGTCCTTGCACAGGCTCCAGCAGTTGCTCAGGGATGTTTGAGCCAACTTTTATGGTTCCTGTGGCCAAAATGCCACTGTTGAAGTTTTAATTTTTCTCTAGAGAAAGTATGCCACTTGTCATACCCAAACCACTGGATTGGTGTTTTTGCAATTCTTGGTGTGTTATTCTCTTTAGCAGTAACATACCATTTGCTGCCATGTAGGCAGCTGGTTGATATTTAAAGGTAGAATCCCAAGTCACAAAGTTCTACAAATAAGGAGGCAGCCCTGCTCTTGAGGCCTCCAGTTAGCCTCCCGGTGCCCATAGGCAGCTCACAACCTCCTGGAACTCCCATTCCTCTTCTCTCCTCATGGGCACTGTACTCAGATGTGCACATATGTATATCCCCAACACATATGCACATCGTTAACAATAAATCTCAAAACACTCAAAAAACAAAGTTTTCTCTTTTGTTTCTGTGATATATTTTTCAAAAAACTAACTCTAGTAAGGGCCAAGGATGAGGCTCGGTGGTAGAGCACTTGCCTGGCATGCCCGAGGCCTTGGATTTGATCCCTAACACTGAGAAGACAAACCCAAAACTTCTGCTACATAAATGAAGACAGGGAGAACCCCATAATGAAATGGTTTCACTCTGTCTGTTTATATATAAAGCAGGTCAAACTTGGTCAACAGACAATGTATAACTTGCTTTGGTTAATGCTAAGTCAAGTCAATTATTTTTATTTTTTTATTTCACGCGTATGAGTGTTTTGCCTGCATGTATGTAAGTGTAGCTGTGTTGTGCAGTGCCCATAGAGGCCCAAAAGAAGGTGTTGGATTTCCTGGGACTGGAGTTACAGACGGTTGTTAGCTACTATGTGGGTGCTGGGAACCAAATCCTGGGTCTTCTGCAAGAGCAATCAGTGCTTTTAATTGCTGATCCATCTTTCCAGGCCCAAGCCAAGTCAATTATGATAAAAGAACATTGAGTCACTTTAGAAATACATGCTAAACCCAGTAATCAGTCGCATAGTACCTGCATTACTTTCTGTACATGCTACAACATGTATACTCATTCATTGCTATTCAGAAGTTTAAGGTAAATTGTCAGATAAACAAAGACCACATGAGGGATTATGTCTTGATGAAGAGGGAACACGATCTGAAGATGTTTTCCACATACTGATGTGATGATTTGTTCCTCTCACCTAACAGATATATGAATACTTATGGAATATTGAAAGTGCTTGATTAACACTGAAATTATGTAATACTTAAATTGCAGAACTTGACTGTGAAGTTTTGAAGCTACCATATGATCCAGTATGAAACTCTGTAGGGAAACCAAATTCCTGTCTAAAAACTTGGTCAGTTTCTTAATTGTTAATGATTTATATCAACAAAAACATATGCAGAGACGTGAACCTCAAATTTGTGTTTTCTGTGAGTCCGAAAGGATGATTGACATAGCACTGCCCTAATGTCTTCTAGGACTTAACTAGCAACTGTCCAAATAATTTCTTCCTTAGAAAATGTACTGATGATTAAAGAAAATGAAAAAAGTTTGGTCAGTTTCTTAATTGTTAATGATTTATATCAACAAAAACATATGCAGAGACGTGAACCTCAAATTTGTGTTTTCTGTGAGTCCGAAAGGATGATTGACATAGCACTGCCCTAATGTCTTCTAGGACTTAACTAGCAACTGTCCAAATAATTTCTTCCTTAGAAAATGTACTGATGATTAAAGAAAATGAAAAAAGTTATATTTTTTGTTTAGGCTGTTTGTGCTAAATTGTATTACGATTGCCTCATCAGTTTGGGAAATTTCTGAGAGTCATTTACTTCTGACTAAACACCTGAATTCTTTTCCTGCCCTCAGGTGTTCACCTACAAGCAGAGCACAATCACCCACCAGAAGGTGACTACCATGCACCCGATGAATGAGGAGGGCGTGGACGACATGGCTTCCCTGACAGAGCTGCATGGAGGCTCCATCATGTACAACTTATTCCAGAGATATAAGAGAAATCAAATATATGTAAGTTCCACTTGAAATTCCTTTATGAAGAAGTTCTTCAGGGTCAGGGATGTAGTTCAGTGTACTTGACCAGCCTTTGTGAGCCCCAGGGGTAGAGGTCTATCCCTATTACCAAAAGAGAAAAAGAAATTGAGTGTTTTTAGAATAGTTCCTGCCTTTTGAGTGCTTCTTATGAATCTGAGTGAAAGTGTGTTTTCAAAAGTTTTGCCAAATTAGAACCTTGCTGCAGTACACTATACTCTGTTGAGGGGTCCTTGGCACTTTGAGGCAGTGTGCCCTCTTGTTTCTTAGGAATGTGCATGCTATGCCTGCTGGCAAGTGTACTGTTAAGCAAAGGAGTCACATACAGTTGTTTGACTTCCTCATCAGTTAAAGATGGGCAAAGGTCCCCTTGTACATACGAGTGCCTGAGCTGAAGCTTTCTCTTTTCCTTGACTTTTTTTGTGGATTTTCGCTGCTTTTTCCACCTCTAGAGTCCACTGGGGAAGTGAGAGATGACTAGTTAACTTCACAGGAGTTCACCCTCACAGAAATTCACCTTCACAAGAATTCATCTTTCCTCTTTCTAATTTACAGGATTCCTGTTTGCTACTTTGAATGGACAAATGTAGATAAAAAGCATTTGCGCACATTTCTCTCTCTACTTTCATGAAATGAGTTAAGCCTATATTATAAATAATAAGTAACATAAATATGACAAAATAATATTTGGGATTCATTTGAGGCTGGAGAGATGGCTCAGCAATTAAAAGGATTACTGTTTTTGCAGAGGACCTGACTTCAGTTCCCAACACTCACATTGGTTGACTCACAACCACCTGTTAACTCCAGTTCTATAGGCTCTGATACCCTCGTCTCAACTCCAAGGGCCTGTCCTCACACACATACCCACATATATACATACACATATACACATTATTAAAAACCAAAGAATTTCTTTTAAAAATTCTTTAAAATTCTTTTTATAATAATTTTTTGAGATTGAAGTATAGATATTGCACTACCTGTCAAGATTGAGTGACTACATGTCACCCATTTTTCCATATGCTGCTTAGCAAGTTTTTACGGTAAACAAAGAGCAACTACTTAGACATTTTCATGTCAAGTTCAAATCAGCATTGTCTTCTTTTGAAACTAACATATTAATATTTTAAAAATTCTTGTTATAGTAATTTTGTCCCCTAGGAGGTATATTTAATATTGCCAGTATTTTCAGAATTTTGATTAATAGTAGTTCTAGCTTTGAAGTTGCCAGTAGTGCTAACAGAAATCAGAGGCGCATGTGGTATTCTGTGTGTAGGTTAATGCTTAATTTTCCTCAACATAAAGAGAAGTATGCCCCCCTTTTTTAAGCTGCGAAAGTGCCATTTTGGGGGGCTGGAGAGATAGCTCAGTGGTTAAGAACATTGGTTGTTCTTGCAGAAGACCCGGGTTCGAATCCCAGCACCCACATGGCAGCTAACAACAGTCTGTAACTCCAGTTCCAGGGGATCTGACAGCCTCTTCTGTCCTCCGCGGGCATTGCATGACATGGGTGCACTTACCTACATGCAAGCAATATACACATATACATAAAATAAAAATAATAAATAAAATATTTTTAAAAAGAAAGTGCCATTTTTGCCATCTTGACCTGCTGTTTGCCACACACTTTCAGGCAGCCCCACGTAGAGAAATCGGTCCTGTCATAGTCCTCTGTGTGCTGAGCTTGCCTACCCTCAGTCTTCGGATTGAAAGGTTTTCCATTTGTTTCTCAGGATAGGTGGTGCTTGTGCTTATGTAAAAATGGCCACATCATCTGTGTTTTGCCTGTCCCTGCGATGCACATTCATTTCTTTGTCACCTGTTACCATGTCAAAATCTTACAAGTAGCCAGTGAGTTGACAGGTGCGCATGTTACCGACGCCCTGTTGGTGTGTTCATTATTAAATGCTCAGCCCTGTCGTGTAACTGCTTGCTAGGTTATCTATTGACTCTTGACGTCTTTGACACAAGGATGCTGCCAGGATCCTGGAAATTGTGCAGTAAGTGTTTATAAGTGCCACACATATTTCAGATAACCCATTCCAGTGGGTGGTAAAATATGAAGCTTGATTTTGAGATGTATTGGGATATGTCTCTTGCAGGTATTACTCATGTTCTTCTGGTTTTAAAAATAAAGACTGGATGGAACTAGAAACTGTTATACTAAGTGAAGTAACACAGACTCAGAAAAAAATCGACATATATTCTCCCTCATATGTGGATCCTAGAACCAAACCCAGATAAGTGAGTAGGTATCCAGACATAACTACAGGAACCAGGATAATGGAAAGGAACCAGGGAGGTAAAGGAAAAGAAGGAACCTGAAAGAGAAGAACAGTAGGAAAGAGGCCTTAATAAGGGAGATATGGATAAAAATTGGTTTAGTTTAAGGGAGCGGGGAGGAAAGTGTATACAAAGAACCTAGGGAATAAAGGGAAAGAAGGAGCTCAAAAGAGGTAGGACCACAGGAGAAGGGTATTATTACGGGAGAAAGGGGGGCAATGGGGGCACCTTAAGTGGGAAAACCATGATGGAGGGGTGAGACAGTGTGAGAGATAAATAATGCCTAGCTAGTTTTGAAGACCGGAGGGAACCATATTACTCCTACAACCTGCTGACAAATTATACATAGCAGATCAAGAAATATATGTCTAGGTAAGGTTTATCTGAGAACAACTGGTCTGCTACATGACACACAGTAATTAAAAGTACCAGACTGGTGAAACTAACCTTCTTGGATGTTAACAGACATACTTTGAGGCCTATAATAATTTGGTCAGAGGGACATAAAGGACAGTTTTTGCTCCTTGCTCTCCTAGGTCAACTAGTTAGTTCCAGGGGACTATGAGCATCATTCAAAATGTCCTGTAATTGTGGTGGGTCACCTGTCCTCTTGATCAAGGAGGCCAAGGAGACCCCACCAGATGGACTTGAATCAATGTTCAGTCCACAAAGGGGAGGGTCAACACAGAGGAATCATTTCCTCCATGCTTCCAAGCGAAGCCAACCATGGTCGAGCAGGACCTTTGACTTACCTTCATTGGTTTATCTGGGCCAACTGTATTGCCTTAAACATCCAATAGGAAAGTATAACCAAAGATTAAAGTGGCCAATATAATTTTTAAGAGTCCATATGCATAGCTAAAGGCTACATAACAAGTAACAATGCCAGATAGGAGATACCTTCTTTTGAGTTGCTGGTCAGGGTGGCCCAAGGGACTCCCAGATAGTAACCTAGCATAGAACTGGGAAAATGAACAGCAGACCCCAATCTTATCTAAAGGAATATTGAAAAATGATTGCTGCTAGATAAGGAACAGCTGACCCTCCTAAAACAAAGACCTCTTGATAGGCTGACTAGATTCACCAGATGGACAAGTAGTGGGGAATGGCTGGGGTGCTGACAACACAGCAGACAGTAGCAGGGATATCAGAGTATATGGGCTCTAGTGGGGGGAGGGAGGCTATGGGAGGGTGCTATCTGTGAAGTGGGTGTATAGTTGGGTAAGATGGTTTGGGATGTTCTGTGTGATATACACACAAAAAAATCAACAAATTTAAAAAAATGTATTCTATTTGAGGAGGAAGCATGGACATTTACATCATGTTATTTAGTAGAGGTGATAAACATTACCATTGAAATCTACCCGATGACTTTATAGACATACACAAGTGCCCAGGATCCAAGTGCAACCGATTATGACTAGTAATAATCAGATACATACAGATTAGGGATGCATGTGCCAACATCTCAGTGGTAGTAGCAAAAACAATGAGTCTTTCTGCAAGGAACGATATATTCTAAAATGAAATGGAGATCTTTTTTAAAGGTTAAAAACTCATTCAATTTTATGTCTTACAGGGCTTATACTGAGTTCAATATTATATAACTGTATTAACTCAACTGTGAACTTAGAAACTTGCACCCACTTGTGAAAGAGATGTACTCTTGCTCTGGAGTTTGTTACTGAATATGTTAAAACTGTAGTGAAATGCTTCTAATCATGTAGTTATTAAAAATTTTTTTAAATGATTAAAAAAATAGACTGAATTTCTTATTACACATTTTCAATAGCAAGAAAAAGTAGGAAAAACCTAAGGACTTTCAAAAGCAGAGCCTTTTCTCTTTTTCATGGTAATAATGTTAAACTTGGTAGCTAGATTGCCCAATAAATCTTTTGAATAAGCTCTTGGTCCTGTCTCCTGGAGTGAAGGTCTTTTTTTCCTCTCTTTTTAGGGATATACACAAGATTTTTGTGCATCCAACTTGCAGTTAAATTCAGTTCACTATGCCCTAATGTACTTTCTTTTTTGAGATATGCATAATTGTAATATTGCCCATAGGGCAGACACCATGACTGTTATCAGTGGCCACTTGCAGGAGCTTCAGGACCTGTGGGTTGCCCAAATGATCAAACCCACCACTGTCAAAAAGCCACCACTTCCCCTTGTGTCCCAACTTTCCATTGTCGGCCTCCCCTCAGCCCGGCCTCCCTTTGGCCCCAGACTCCGCTGCTACCAGGAGACCACTGTGCACTGGTCCCCATCATGGAAGGTCAGGTGAGGAGAGAGACCGATGGGGCGAGAGAGGCCTCGGGAGCAGCACGTACAGCGGGAAGAGAACACCCGGGAGGCTGTGTCAGTGGACAGCTAGTTTATTATGGCGGAAGCAGAGGTTTATATAGGGAAGTTTCATGGACAAAGAGGCAGGGTTGGGTTTCTGACGGGCAGGCAGGTGGGGGATGGAGGGGGCTTCAAAGGCTACTGTGGCCTCTGTCCTGTCCTCTGGTCACATGATCTACAAGAGACCTGGTTAGGATTAAAGGATTAGAGGCCTAATAGTTTTGCTTCAGGGTTGTTGGGTAAGAGACAGTGTATCTAGAATGGAGTGGGCCAGTTTCCTGCCGTCCTCACTAGGAGGTCTCCAGCCGGTGGCCATACTCTACATTCCAGGCACTCCTGACTTATCCCAACAT